GTCGGGATTTGGGCTTCCAACGCCTCCGTTGAAGGCAGGGCAGGCAGGGGCGCTTCATAATACACTCTCAGGCCCCTGGGCTGCCTGCCTGGGGCACGTCCTTCCGGCCCAGCCCGAGCTGCTTGGTGCGGCCCAGCAGGCGCTTCCACAGAGAGACGCTTGAGCTGCCCCATGTCCGGGTGCTGGCGCAACTGAGGGGGGCTTTGCTGCTTCAGGCCAAGGCACGAGCGGGTCAGCCTGATGCCAGGCATTGCTCTGGCCTGGGAAGGGAAGACGGTCACTTCCCTGGGTTCGGGGAGATGCCGTTGGCTCTGGGGGGGCCCCACATTGGCCTCAGTTGACGGAAAGGAGGGCTGGTCCAGTTTCCCCCCCCCACTTGGTCTTGTCTTGCTTTCTCTTCCATTTTGTTCCCACAGCACCCGGGGTCTCTCTGGGAGGGAGATGGGCGGCCTCCAAACATGACTGGCCCAGATAGGTTGATGGGCAGATCAATCAATAGATACAGATCAGTGGTGACAGATGAGAGACACACAGACAAACAAAGGCGCCATTTTGCCCCGTACGCCCCAGATTCCTCCCTCCCCCCAGGGAGCCCCCCTGCCCGGACTCACTTCCCTGAGGGAGGGGATCAGCTCCTTCACGTCCACCTGGAGCATGTTGCCGATGAAAGGGAGCGGCGGGGGCCCCGGGGGGAGGCCGGCGAACCTCTTCTTGGCTGTGAAGTGGAGGAAGAGGAGGCACGAGGCGGCCATGGCTAGCAGGATGCTGATGGGTCCCCCCAAATCCATCCAAGTGATGGCTGAGATCTCCATGGCTGCTGAGAGTCCAGCTGGCCAGCCAGCCAGCCAGGATATATATGGCCGGACACCTCTTGCGCCAGTCCCTGGCTGGCCGGAAGTTGGGCCACAGCCTGAGGCTGGGCCGATGTCAGCTGGGTGGGGCTGGGCTGAAGGAGGCCAGTTCTGCTGGGGGTCCAGGAACCTTTTGCGGTGTGGCTCTTTTTAAAGCCCCCTTTGAAGAAGTCCTGGGCCCTTTCCCTTCCCCTTGCTTGTGGTATCCTGCAGCTCCAAGACCATTCCTTGCACGCCCCCTGCCCTTTCTGCTGCCTAGGAGCTTGCCAAGGCACCGCCCCCCTCCCCCTCCACAGAGCTCCAAGGCTGAAACTGAGCGGCCTTTGTGAGCCAGATTTCTCAAGCCATGTTTGCATACTGCTTTGCAGTTCCAGAGAGATCTGGCTGGGGCTACTCCATTGGCCAAAGATTAACCCAGCCACGTCCAGGACAGCCACTGAATGTGTGTCCATGCTCCTGTTGCACCCGGTGCTGGGTGCGAAGCCCCCCCCCCCCCCGCCCTCCCCTTCCTGCTCCCTTGGAGCCTTTCTCTGGCAGGCTTTTTCTCCTGGATCATGGCCGGTCTGCCCATCCATAACTCTGCTCTGAAAGTGGGCTATGAAGACCAGGTGGCTTGAGTCCCCAACTAGCCACTCCACTTCTTGGCAACCCAGCCCAGCCCCAGCCGGCTACCTTACAAGACTCTGAACTCCTGCCAGAGGCCCAGAGAAACAGGCTGCCCAAGCCAAGCTCGATTCTCTTCATCAGGGATTGAGCAGGTGGCATGAACCCAGACGATGATGGGAAGGGGGCGTCTGCTGCCCCAAAGGTGCTTTTCCGAAAGGCCACTGGACTTCCTTGGTTTTCAGTCCTGACCAAACAACTGAAGAAGCTTCGTGGATGAGAAGGAAAATGTTTTCAAGGAAAAACCCAAGAAAGCCCAGTGACACCCATGACCTGGTGGATTGAGAACCTCCATCGACGTGTGTGTGTGTGTGTGTGTGTGTGTAAAAGAATATAAGGAGTGAGGAAGAGGAGGCTGCATCAGCCTTCATTGGAATCACCCCTCTTTTCCTGCTCTGGTCAATTCCCTGGTGCTCTCTGAGTGGGGTTATTTTCTTGCAGACATTTTATGACCCAAACTTGGTAACATCCGGAGTGTTCAGCCTTTCATGCCTGAGCTACAAATATTCTCCTTTGTTGCTGCTCAATTCTAAGCAACTGGGCCAAAAAGGAATTTCTTCTGCACCGCAAGAACCCAGAGAAGGCTGGCTGTGCCCTGCCTGAAGCGGCTGCAGTCCGTTCCTTCTGCGCAATGGAGCTTCTGGCCCTTCTCCAAGGGGGGGACAAGCCAGTGGTTGTGGATCATGGGTGGTGGATATCTAGCAGTTGACTTAGTCCACTATGGGCCATTACCTTATGGAACAATGCAGTTTATTTCTTTGGACTTCGGAAGCAACGTAATCGTAGAAGTTTTGTTTTGTTAATAATAGTTTAGGGTTTACCCTGCTGCATGAATTCAGCCTTCAGGTTGTAGTTTCCTTTTAAAAAAATAAAACCACCATATTCGTCTTAAGCAATCTCTCTAACCTTTTGCTCTTAGCAGAATTTGCCAAGATTAAATTTTAAAAAATCAGTTTTGTTTTACCAAATGACCACTGTCCCCTCAGTGAGCGAATCATCCTCCTTGCAATTGGGCTAAATGACATGACACCCCCAGTTGACTCGCAAAATCCAGGTGGGTGAAGTGTATCTCGTTAAAGGATAATCGGTGTGGAAAGCTTCTGTCAGTGACCTCTCCCCGGTTGCTTTGGACAAAGCCACCCAGGGGGATCTGCAGGACAGGGATTTCATGGTTGAACCTGCAGTCACTGAACGTAGCTGGAAGTCAGAGCTGGATGGATGTAAGTATCACCTTTTCTTTCCCTCTTCTTCTCTGTTTTCCTGGCCAAAGGCTGCCGCTATGGCTGGTGTGTTCCTCTTCAGATGCCCAGGCTGTCTACCATAGAGCTGGTCCCTCATTCACCGTTGCTGCTGCTGCTGCTGCTGCTGCTGCTGCTCTGGGTCTCCTTCACGTTAAGTGGGAGGAAGAAGGGCATGAAAGCCCCCCTGCCCCCTGGGCCCACCCCACTCCCCATCCTGGGGAACTTTCTCCAGCTGGACCGGAAGAATCTGGTCCAGTCCCTGATGGAGGTGAGTTGGGTTTCCTTCCTTGAAAGCCAGCAGCTGCTTCTCAGGGTACACAGCGAGCTTGGTGGGCAATGTTGGAATGGCTGGCCTTTGACCAGGTGTCATGTGCACCTTGGGCATTTTTGCAGGGGGTGGAAGTAGATGGGATACCCAGATTGGCACCCCCTCTTCCCAAGACAGAGAGAGGAGGACAAGTCAACACAATGGCCCTGTCTCGTTTATGCTGCTCCAACCCTTGGGTGGAGTCCTCCTGGCCTGGAGATGAGGAAGCCCAGGGATCAGGGAAGTCACACAGAGTGGGAGGAGGCGTTGTGGTCAGGATACTCCACAACGATACACAGGCATGGCTCGAAATATCAATTTCCCTCCATTCTAACCCAAAGAATTACAAAATGTTGAAACTGATACAAATAAATGGCACCCACCATTCTTTGTTCCACAGCCCACAGAGTTGTGGATGAATGGCTTAAAATATTGCCATATGTCCTAAAGCCAGAAAGGAATTAGAATGCCACGGACATAACCTTTCATAGCAAGCCTTTATGGGGCACTCAAGCACTTCCCCTCAGCAGCTCTGAAGAGGACGCTCGGCAGGCAATCTGCCCCACTGCTCCAGGCACCTTAGGCTGGGTGGGTCCCTTCAGCTCTTTCCATAGGTGTTCTATTGCAGGCGTCTCCATGCTGGCTGGGGAATGCTGGGAGTTGAAGTCCACAAGTCTTAAAGTTGCCACGGTTGGAGTCCCTGTCCTGTGAATTCAAATCACTGGAGGTCCTTTGGGGCCCATTCTTGGGTTTTCTTAGATGTACATTTTGAGGTCGTTATCCTGCTGGAAGGAGCACATGGCTCGTGTGGAGAGGGGCTGGGTTGGAGACCGAGTGCTGCTGCATGGGGGGGGGGGGTTGGGCTCCTGTCCCTAGCTCTTTGATGGGGACATGAAAGCAGCCCCCCAGGCAATAGTGATGTCACTGGCTGATCCTTTCAACACGGAAGCCCCTTACACGGGACGGGATGGGGGGGGGATCCTGCTAGAGAACCCCATGACCTGCATCAGAGTTTTCTCACACAGAGTTACGTTTTGCTCCAGAATATTTTGATGGCGTCCTTTTGAATCATGTTCTTTTCTTTAAGAAACGTTATTTGTCAACATGCATGTTAGCAAACTCCAGTCTGGCAGATTTGGGGGATCTATTGGAAGCGGGGTCTCCTGGCCCCATCCCAAGAGACTTGGAGGGTGGGTGGAGATAAGGGGACAAGTAGTAGAGGAAGGAATCCTGGCAACTTATTCCAGAGAAAGAAAGAATGAGAACAATATCCTGAGCACTGCGGAATCTGTTGAAAATCTCCCTGGTTTTTATTCTGAATTCCCAACAGTTTGAGAAAAAAGAGATTGAATGAAGAGCCTTGCTATTTTTTCTTGCTTGATCCCTTCAGAAAAGAGATGGAAACGGCTCCCGGGAGGAGGTTCCACCTTCCCACCCCCAAAGACAACCCAGTGTCCACCTGTGGCGCCTGGCATGCAGGCAGGAACTGGGCTCTGCTGGGCGTGAAGGGGCAGCAGCCCAGCAAACCTCCCTGACCCAAAGGAGCCTTAGGGAGATGTGGGGCCATTGGAGACCCCTTGAGTGGGAGTGGGAGGGGGCGTCAAAGAAGTCCTTCCCTCCTGCTCCTGCGAGGTGGGGCCAGCCACTAGCAGCTCTTTTCTTGGGCCAGCATTTCTCGCTGGCAGCATCACTCTCATCTAGCTGGTTATGGCAACCCCCCCCCCCTTCCCCTCAGAAACAAGTTGGTCCTTCTGCCTCTTGGGAAAGGTGTCGGGAGAAACCCCGAGGGAAGAGAGGCAGGCCAGGAGGAGCCCAGCAGGCCTGTCTGGCAGCACCTCTGCCTCTTTCCCAGGCCCCACTTCTTCTGGCCCTCTCCCCTCCAACCTGGCTCGGTGCCCCTTCTCTCAGCCCTGGCACTGGGGTGGCACTGGGTGGCAAGCAGAGTTGACTATCCTGCCCGGAGGGGGGAGAGAGGCAGGGAGAATAAGTCAGAGCTGGATGTCTTTGTTGGTCAGAAAGGTTTCTTCCACCCCGCTGAAACTCCCATCCACAAAGGGTCCTCGGCGGGATTCTAAGCTCGACACCTGCGAGTGGATCTCACCTTACACTCACTTTCCTTTGCTGCAGGGTTTGCCCACTGCTGTTAGCCCAAAGCAACTCAAGCACCTTGTAGCCTAGAAGAGCCTTGAGCCCCAACTATTCATGCAAGAGCCCAGGATTTCTGTAGAATGGATACTTTTCTAAAACAAAACACAAATCTGTCCCTAGGCATAATCTGGAATTCAAATTAGACTATTTGCAGTTCCAAATGTTCAGCATTTGATTCTGATTTTGGGGGAAAGCTGAGTTGTTGTTGCTCAGCAGCCGTTGTGCACCCCTTCGGCTGGGTCTGTGTGTGAAAGCTGGCCTCTTTCCGGCGGGGCCAAGCAGCCTGGTCGGCTTCCTGGGCTGGTGGGACTTGGGAGGCCGCCTGTCTCCTCGGGCTGCTAAAGGCTCCCAATACAGGGGGTGGGGGGGGGGGGGGGGCTCCAAACCACTCCTGGTCTTTCTTGGCAGATGGGCAAGGAGTACGGGCCGGTGTTCACCGTCTTCCTGGGACTGCAGCGGGTTGTGGTCTTGTGTGGCTACCAAGCCGTGAAGGAGGCCTTGGTGGACCAGGCAGAGGAGTTCAGTGGGCGAGGGCAGCTGCCCGCCTTCTCCAAGGACTTCAACCACCATGGTGAGGGATGCTTTGGCTACAAGGCGGGCCTGAAGCTGCCTTGCTGGGCTTGCCTGGCGCTGGTGAGGGGGGGGGGTTCCTGAGAGAAGCCCCCTGACCTCCTGGTCTCTTGGGCAGGGATTGTGTTTGCCAACGGGCAGCGCTGGCAGCAGCTCCGCCGCTTCTCCCTCACCACCTTGAGGAACTTTGGGATGGGCAAGCGGTCCATTGAAGAGCGGATCCAGGAGGAGGCCCAGTGCCTGGTGGAGGAGCTCCGGAAGGCCGAAGGTAGCTGTTGGTGTGGAGCAGCAGCCCCTCCCTCGCCTCGGTTGGCCTGAGCCTTCCTCAAGGGGAGGTCCAAGAATCGCAGGTCAAAGCAGGCCAAGGAAGTCTTCCCCTGCCAATGCCTTTGGCTCGGGAGGTGTCTGGACTCCCAGCAGGGGAAGGTTTGGTTTTCTACCATGGGCAACTACAAGCCCTACGATCCAAAATTTTAGCAAAGGGTTCTCTGCCTGGTTGCTGGGTGGACTCCAGAGGCCTCTGGTCCCATTTCTGGCCTTCCTGGACTTCCGGAAGGCCCGTTTTTCACCCTCCCCGATCCTCCACTCTGCCCTGCGCTTCCCTGCGTCCAAAATGGGCCACGTGGGGGCTCCTGGGAGGGGAGGGGTGGGCAGGGCCAGCCAGGAGTGGGCTTGGGGGCTCTCCAAACTGCACACAATCTTAGCTAGGGGCTCTCCCGAACCCCTGCGAACCCCCAGCAGACCCACCCCTGCCTGGGATCTGTGAGCAGCCCCCCCCCCAAAGCTGATCCTGACTGACCCCAGAGGCCATCATGGCTAGTAGCCCTTCTCACTTTCCTCCCTGCCTGAAGCTGCCATTCGCTGTAGAGTTGTCCAGATGCCACCAACAGGATGTGCCCTGCAAGCCCTCCCTTCTGTGGGCCAGTGCTGTGGGCTCTCCTGGGCTCTCGGGCTGACCCTCCTCCCACCACATGCCATTGTGTTCCCTGCAATTGTTTGTCCTCCTGGAAGTGAGGAGTTTGGACTTTTGGGTCCACATTCAATTACTATTGTTATCATTATGGTTTGCTGCACAGCTGGCCAGAGGTTCAGACCGGATGTTATTAACGCTGGGCAGGTGGGTGGGAAGGAGGGGAGGCTGCAGGCCCAGCAAGGTTCCCTCTCTTTTCTCCAGGGACGCCCTTTGACCCCACCTTCCTTCTTAGTCGCGCTGTCTCCAATGTCATCTGCTCCGTTGTGTTTGGGAATCGGTTCGAGTACAGCGATGAAAAATTCCTCCGGCTGAACAAGCTGATAACGGAGCGTTTCTGCATTGCCAGCTCAACCGAAGCCGCGGTGAGGACAGTGGGAGAATGCCTTCACTTTTGCCACCTTTCCCCTAATCAAACCATGAATTGAGGGGGCCATTTTCTGCTGAGTGCCTGGCATTTTGTCCCCAAAATATCTGAAAGTCCATAACCGAATTTGCTATTCTTGGGGGAGAGAAAAGCTCCCCGTGGCTCTCACCCCTCAGGGGGAAGAGGCCGAAAGTTCTTGTTCTGTATTCTGTACAGTGGTAGATTTTGTCTTCTGTACAGACGCAGATAGACAAACAAAACGTATATACAAAGTTTTTATTATTGGTTCATCAGGTATCCTCATAACTCACATTTGTGACGAAGTTCTTCTTTAATGACCAATCCTTTGCATATCCGTCTTGTAGTGTAGAAAGATAAAAAGGTCTCAACCCCATGATAATTGAAGCATGGTATGAAATGGTGGTTTCAGGCAAGAGTGAGGGAGCCTCCCCCAACCCAACAAGGGTCACTATAGTGACCAATCAGGATTACAGATGTGGTCCTGTGATATGGACTACATTTCCCAGGATACCTTAACTACATTTACCATGATGCAGTCTCTTAAGGGGACAGCTCACAATTCCTAAATAACTATCCCAAATCCCATTAACTGTCTGGGCAGCACAGTTTTCCTCATGTTGGTGGTCGTTCCTCCAGCTCCATCCCACCTGGGATGGGGGAGGGGAGAACAGAGGCTGAGCAAACTCTCAATTTGCTTCCAGGCTGGCTGGAATCGGCTGCATCCGACCTCTTAGGTGGAGAACTGGACAAGAATGTTCCCTTCTGGGAGGCTGGTGGGGTTAGTCCAACTGGAACCTGCCTGCCTCCCCCCCCCTTGAATTTTCAGCCATATTCCCAAAGTGGAGCCATGTCTTCAGAGACGTGCCTAGCAGAAGGATGCGCTCACATTGGCCCTTCACCACTTTGATTAAGAAGTAGCAGCTGCTTGCACACAACTATCTAAGTTTGCCTCACTTTTAAAGTCTGTTTTGCCAGTTAACCACAGGCGTGTATTGCGCAATCTGCCCAATAGGTTAGTTTGTGTACCAAGTTAAGCCCAGTGCACCCAAAATCTGCGGTCAAGAAAAGCTAACCGTATTATTGTTTCACCCCTTGCCCTCTGTCCAACTTGGGGTAGCTCTACAACATCTTTCCGGAGATCATGGAGAAGATCCCTGGAGTGCATCACGCAGGCCACAGGTGCTCTCAGCAGATCATCGGCTTCATAAAGGAGAGGATCCAGACGCAGCAGGCCTCGCTCGATCCTTGTGCTCCCCAAAATTACATTGATTGTTTCTTGGCAAAGATGGAGCAGGTAATGCTGCTTCTCAAGGAGTTTCACTTCTCACTTGGGTGGCATGAAAGGGCTTCATGTTCAGCTGCCAGGCAAAGGAGCTGGTTGTGGGTCTTTGGGGTGCATCTGTTGGCTCCAGAGGCCTCCCCACCTTTCTTCCCTTGCATGGAAGGAGGGGAAGTTATTCCCCGCTTTCTTTATGGCCACCAAAGACAACTGAGGGCCTTCGGGGTTCAGGCAGAGCTCCAGCCCCAGAGTTTGGCTCAAGATTTAGGAAGAGACTTCTAAGTCACCTTTCAACTCAGAGCTTGGCTAAGAGTAGAGGTCCACAACCCCCAGGCCGCAGGTCACTACTGGGCTGTGGAAGCAGCAGGCGAGCACACCTGTGCAGACAGAAGGCAAGCATGCTGGGAAGCCCCATTTGTGTGAGTGATGGGTGCAGGTGCCCACCACTGGCACAAATAGAGCTGTGCGGGCGTGCCTGCACTCCCTCTTACACACACACACGCACGCACGCACACCCCTCTGGTCCCCAAAACCAGAAAGGTTATGGAAGTCTGGGTTAGAGAACTAATGAAGAAAGCTTCAAATAGTCTGCTGCTCCTATTCAGCTGAAGATGAATTGCACAGGGTCGTAACTCAGGCAGGCTTCACCTTGCCTGCACAGAGGAATGGGGACCTGCAGCTCCCAAATGTCTCCCGTCTGATTAGAAGCGTGTTACTTCCAGAGCTGCAAGGGGGAGGGGGGAGGGGGGGGGACAGAATCTGACATGCTCATTGGGTGCTATCTGAGCACCACTTCTCCTTCTATTGGCCATCAGGAGACACCATTTTGCTCTACTGGAGCTCATCACTTGACCTCTTTCACAAGGAGGTTCACAAGCCTCTATGGCAGGGATGGGGAACCAACTCCCAGAATTCCCAAGCCAGCCATGTTGGTTCAGGAATTCTGGGAGTTGAAGTCCACCAGTCATAAAAGGGCCGTGGTTCTCTGCTCTATGGGGATTGAACTCCTGGACGCTTCAGATTCAGGTTTCTCAGCCTCGGCAACATTAAAGCGTGTGGACTTCAACTCTGAGGGTTCTGGGAGTTGAGGTTCATATGTGCTGGCTGAGGAAGTTGAGTCAAGGCCATTAGTCTCCCGTTCTTGTTGGTTCAAAACATTCCGCTAAGTCTGAAGCCGCGACTTGGATTAGCAGCGCATGTGACTCGGCTTCCAGACCAGTGTGCCTGCCTGCCTGAGAACCTTCTCTGACACCTAGGAGTTGAAGTTCACACCTGCTGAATTTGCCAAGGCTGAGACACAGCGATGCACACGGTGCCTTAGCAAGCCTTGTTGCGGAAGAGACGCAGAGAGTATTCTCGGCAGAACAGTTTTGGCCTGTAGGAGCCCCATAAAACGAAGCTTGCAAAATGAGATGATAACGCAACACAACAACACCCGTCTCTCTGCCTGAGAGCTTCGGAGGGAAGGCAGGCAGCGCAAGCCCAGTCCTAAAGAGAACTTTCCACCCCGGAGTGCCCCGGTTTCCATCCCAGAGAGTCAGCCCGGGAACAACAACTGGCCCCGGGAGGCTCCCCCCAGGAAAGGCCCCGGGTCCACGTCCTGCCCGAAGGATGAAGGGCACGAAGCAGAACCCGAGAAATGGCCACTGGCCACTCTCGTCTCTGCAGCTGCTGGGTCTTGGCAGGCCTATTCCGCTAGGAGGTTTTCACCTAGCAGCGCCTGGAAACGAAGGCGGCCTTTCCCTTATCTCCCGTGGCCTTTGACAGGAGAAGCACAACCCGGATTCTGAATTCTGCATGGAGAATTTGGTGATGGCCACGTTCAACCTCTTCTTTGCTGGCACAGAGACCATCAGCACTACCCTGAGATTCGGCTTCCTCATCCTGATGAAGCATCCACAGGTCCAAGGTCAGGGAGGAAGGAGCCCCCCCAGCACTGCCAGGGGCCTCCTCGGGGGTGGGCTGGCCAGCGGGGGAGGGGGGCCTTCTTTTCTCAGTTGTTCTGCTCTGGGAAGGTGGACAGTCCACAGCATTATTTGGGCCCTGGCTGCCGGCGCTGAGCGGCCCTTTCCCTGCCCAGCAGGGCTGCGCGTCCTGAGGCTGGCTTGTGGCCCTCAGGGAGCCCTAGAAGTTAACCCCCCACGGCGTCTTTTCAACATGTAGGCTAGAAATGAATGAACTGCATGGGAATGGCCCCCTAAAGACCTTTGTCCACGGAGTAGCCCTTGTTCCCATTTTGGCTTGGCCCATCCGGCCCCCAGGCCCTAAGCGCTGCTCTCCGCCCTCCCTTCCCCGCCAGCAGGGCGTCTCCTCCTTTGTTCTGCAGGCCCATTTCATGGCAAGCAGGCGGACCTGTCGCTGCTTTGCCTTCAGGGGCCCTTGCAAGAATCCACTGCAGGCCAGAGTCTGACCCCAGAGCCCCCCCGGCCATCTTTCCCCAGAAAAGCTCCACAAGGAGATCGACCGAGTGATCGGGGCTGGCCGCTGGCCCTCGGCTGACCACAGGCGGCAGATGCCCTACACGGAGGCGGTGCTGCACGAGATCCAGAGGTTCAGCGACATCCTGCCCATGAGCCTCCCGCATGCCCTCACTCGAGACACCCACTTCAGGGGATACGCCATCCCGAAGGTGAGGCTCGGGGGCAGGACAGGACTCGGAGCTCAGCCGCAGCCAGGGTGCTTGTCCGGCACGCTCCCTTCCATTATGGCCTTCGGGGTCTGCCCTCGGCTGTGGGGTGGGGCATTTGTGCCAGAGCCGCCCCGCCCCACTGGCCTGGCCATGCCAGTTCTGCATGCTCCAGTGCCAGCTGGCCTTTGCTAAGCTGTTACCCGAGGAGAGGGGAAAGGAGAAACCGATTCCTGAGTTTCAACCGAATCTGGTCCAATGGGATGGACAGCAGAAGGTCCTGTGGGTGGAGGATGTGCCAAAACAGAGGTTCTGCCGTGGAAGGGTGGCGGGCATCCCTTTTGGCTACCACCAAGCAAAGTTTCTCAGGCCCCCTGCCCTGGACAGCGCCACTGAAATGCCCCTCAATCCTAGCTTCCCCTCTGGCAATGCGGGCACCTCATTCTGGGCTTCCCTCCTTGCCTCTGTCTCCACTTTCCCTCCTGCTCTGCCTGCTTGGATGTGTTCCTGCCAGGGGACCTACGTCTACCCTCTACTCAGCACGGTGCACTACGACGCTGAGCATCACGCCAGCCCTGAGCAGTTTGAGCCCCGGAGATTCCTGGACAGTCACGGCCGTTTCAAGACGGCAGACGCCTTCATGCCTTTCTCCGCAGGTGTGTCCTGGGGCGGGTGTTCCCCTCCCCCCTTCCCTTCCCTTCCGTCCCTCTTTGTGCCACTCGCTCCTCCCCTCCCCTCTCAGAAGGTGGCCCAGCCTTAGGCCACGTGAGGAGCACGGGGCCCCTCAGCTGCCTCTGGCACCCACTCTTTGCCCCCTCTCTGCAGGGAAGCGGCTGTGCCTGGGCGAGGGCCTGGCCCGCATGGAGCTGTTCCTCTTCCTCACCACCATCCTGCAGGCCTTCACTCTCACGTCACCGGTGCCCCTGGGTGAGGTCAGCATTGTGCCCGATGCCAGTGGTGTCAGCCGTGTGCCCATGAGATACCAGCTCTTGGTGGTACCACGCCAAGCTTGACCCACACTGTTTCCCTTCTGTCGCACCCTCTTCAACTGCCCAGAGGGTGGGAGGCTGTGGTTTCCTCCATCAGGGCAATTTATGGGCAGCGAGTTCCTGCAACAAGCACCCAGTGCTGTTCGTAGAAAAGCATCTCCGCAGTTCCGGTCGGACTGTGAGCTCCTCCTGGGTGCTCCCTGAGCTGGGCACTTTCCTCGTAGACCCCAACTGGGCAACACCTTCAGTGCCACTCTGGCATAGCCATGGAGTCTCTGCAAGGAAACCAGCCAGCTCAGGGAGCACCCAGGACACCTTTCGGCTCCCTTGAGGGCACAGGGCGCGGGAACTGCTCCCCCCTGCCGTGTCCCCCCCACAAATCAGGAAGCTGCTTCTCTAACCCTGACCCCTGGAGCATCCCTGGGGCTGGGATGGCAGTGTTGGCCGCTTGAAGCCGAAAAGGCCCTGTTTCCAAAGAGCCAAACCAAGTCACTCTGTGTTTAGGTGGGTGCTTCTCCCACAGCCCCCAAACAAACAAACAAAATGCTTTGAATAAAATGTGCTCATTTCAGTAACACCAGTTTCTGTTTTCACTTTGCCCCCATCAGAAGGGAGCCCAGCACACAGCAGCTGGCCCTGAGGATGCCCGTAAGGGGGCAGCCCTCTTCTCTTGGGCGGTGGCAGGAGGGGCAACTGCTGGCTGCTGTCACCTTCGACCACTGCCCCTACACTGCAGGAAAAGGCCTGTCATTTCGCTCTTTGGGGGCACAGCATGAAGTAAAAGCTTCAGAGGGGGAAGCGGGGGTGGGGGGGGGGGGAGGGGGGGGGGGGGGGGGGGGGGAGGGAGATCCACATCTGGGTCTAGGGGGGGTGGGCCGATGGGCAGAACACGGGCACTCCTGCAGATGCCCCCTGACTCCTCCCAGATGGGACCCCCTTCTTTCCACCACCACCCCAGGACAGGCGCGGCTGCCTGGGGGTCCCTGGGAGGGGGGCTCCTTCTGCTGCCCAGAGGCCTGAGCTCCTTGTCGCGCAGCAGCATCCAATTCAGGGGAAAGCGTGACAGTCGTCCACCCAAGGAGACACATCCCCTGCTAGGGAGGCTTGTTCCTTGCCTCAGTTTCCCTCTTCGTGAATGTGCCACCCGCCTTGCAGGTTGACCCGGAAGCTCAGCAGGCAAGACCGCAGGGGAAGCAACTGGGGGGGGGGGGCTGGGCAGTTGGCCTTTAATCACCCCTGCAGAGGAACATGCCAGGAGACCTGGGGACTCCGATTCTGGGGAGGTGCTGGTGCCGATCAAAGCCAAACGGAAGCCAAGAGGAGCCCGGATTGTTGCGCCTGAGCTTCAAGGATTGCAAGGGAACCCTGGAATTTCAGCTGCTCTTTTGCCAGGTAGCCTGTAAGGGATTCCGCAAGGGGAACCTTTCCCGCGTCAGGGCGGAAGAAGCGGGAATTCTGCTCAGGAAGGACGGGCCTGCTCTTGGCACCGGCTGGCACCAGCCTCAAGCTCCAGCTCTGCCTGCTGGCACAGGACCCTTGAACTTCACCCACATCCATTTTAGGTTGGGGAAAACTGTTTATTTCAATATGGAAAAATCAACAGACAGAGGATATTGATGCAAAATGGAAACTCGCCTGAGTTGGCAACTTCAGAGGAGAGAGACTGTCTGAGGAGGGGGAGACCTGAACACCAGCTATATTCCATGCCCACCCTCCGAAGCCGGCCTGCCTGGAGCTGCTGCAGGAAAGGGCACAGAGGCTGGGGAGAGGAGGAGGAGGCGGAACCCAACGCAGGGGAGGGGGTGCCCGTAGGTGCCAGGCTCTCTGGAGATGGAGAGGCAGCTGCGGTGCCCTCTGCAAGAGAGTCATGTCCTTAGAGGGCACAGGGGGAGATGTGGCAAAGGCGCCAGAGGGCCCCTCGCTCAGCGGGGGATGACAGAGAACTCATAGGCCTGTGGGATTGTGCCAAACCCCACCAACTTCGGGGAGAGGTCGATGTCTTCAGGGGGCATAGCTGACTTGAAGCGGAAATGCTGCAGGATGCTGGTGAGGAAGAGGAAGAGCTCAGCACGGGCCAGATGTTCTCCGAAGCAGTAGCGCTTTCCTGCAAAAGACCAGAGCAGGGAGGCCGGTGGGCAGGAGGGCCCCCTGGGTGCTGTCCCAGCTAATCTATGGGAATTGGATAGTTACTTAGGAATTATGAGCTGTCCCCTTAAGGGAATGCTTCGTGGGAAATGTAGTTAAGGTATCCTGGGAAATGTAGTCTATGTCACATGACCACATCTGTAATCCTGATTGGTCACTAAATTGACCCTCGAGGGGTTGGGGGGAGTGTTCCTCACTTTTGCCTGAACTCCCTAACTCATGGCAGTTGTTTTCTATCGCTCCGAGATGGGTTAGGAGATAACCATCTTTTACTACAAGGCAGATATGCAACGGATTGGTCATTAAAGAAGAACTTTGTCACAAATGTGAGTTATGAGGATACCTGATGAACCAATCAATGTACTTTGTTATGAACGTCTTGTTGAGTTTATCTATCTGCATCTGCACAGCTTAAAAATCCACTACTGTGCAGAAGACAGAAAAACCTGCCTGCCTCCCCAATGGGGCCTGTGGGGGTCCTTCCCTTGAGGAGGCAACAGAGGACTTGGGGCTCCTTTCGGTGGTCTCAGCAACTCTTTTGAATTTGTGCTTTGTGGAGGAAACTCAAAACTGGGGCCAGGATGTGTTTCTGGACCAGCCCTCTGCATTCTGGGGAGGGGCAGGGAGGAAACTGGGTGACCTTTGGTGGAGGGTCTTTGAGAGGGTTGTCTGAGGTGACTTTCTGGCTTGAGAAATGGTGGGGTGGGGGCTCACCAGTGGAGAAGGGTATGAAAGCCTCATTCCTCTTGAACTGCCCCTTCTCATCCAGGAAGTGTTGGGGGTCAAACTTCTCCGGTCTTGCAAAATGTTTGGGGTCTCTCATCGCTGTTCCCAACATGGGGAAAACCTCGGTCCCCTGAGGGCAGGAAATAACATCAATTATTCTGGCTGAGAATGATGGGAACTATGTTCCAACTTATGTGTAAGACTGATACCCTTGAGGACTATTTTAGAGTGGGTGCTGAAGTGTGGGGTTGGAGATACCCCCCCCCTTAATACCTTGGGAATTGTGTACCCTCTTAACTGGACATCTTGGGTGACACGCCGTGGCAGTGCCAGGGGGAGAATGTCCCCAAATCTCTGCATCTCATGAATCACGGCTTCCGTGTAGGGCATCCGCAGCCTGTCCTCCATGCTGGGAGTCCGATGGACTCCAATGACACGGTCAATCTCCTTGTGGATCTTCTCTGGGGAGAGATCAGAAAGAGTAATAGAAAACTCCAGGTTCCACTCGCAGCTGGAGAAGTTCCCTGGGTGACTCGGTCCGGCCCTTCTCCGTTCCAGCCCAGACAGTGAGGGAGGAAGGGCTGCTCCTCCTGGAGAAAAGGTGATGGGGCTCCAACAAACCCCTCAACTGCTACCTGGGAGAAGGAGTTGGGCCTTGGAGTCTCCACTGTCCCAACCACCCTCCTGCTCTCTGGCTGGGGGGCGGGGGGGGGGGTTATTTCTCTGTTGCCATGGAAATTACCTTCCACCTCTGGGTACTTCAGCAGCATCAGGAACCCATAACGCAAAGTGGTGCTGACCGTTTCCGTCCCACCAAAGAAGATGTTAAGCGTGGTTGCCACCAGTTCCTCCATGGAGAAGAAAGAGTTGGGGTTGTTTTCTTCCTTGGTGGGAGAAAAGGGAAAGTTTTTATCAAGAGCCCGGGAGCTCCTGGGCAGCTTTCACAGCTCTCCTAATTTGCTGATGTCAGCGCCTCTCTAGAAGTCTGCACAGCCCGAACCTTGATGAGGCTGACGTTGCTGTCCCACACTGGCTTTTGGTTGATTTGAACTGTGGACCACACCTTGCTTACACTCTTGTCTGCTTGTTTGGGGTCTTGTGGGGAAGAAATCTGGGGAAGTTCCTTTCAAAAGACCCCTGGAAGGAGAATCTCCCAAAGGTTTGTATCTGCTCCCATTCACGTTGTAAGTATTTCTGAGCCTGCATTTCTGTGTGCATTAATCATCCCATTAATCAGGTCCCCCCCCCCCGTTCTACCTGCTGCATTTTCACCAGGAAGCAGTCAATGAAATCCCGTGGGGAGTTGGGGTCCAGGGTCTCCTGGTGGGCTTTTGCCTTCTTGGCTACAAATTCCTTCAGCTCACAAAACCTCTTGAAAGCCATTTGATGTGAGCCAGGGATGCGTCGCACAATTTCAAAGAAGATGTCCAAGAGCTGCGGGTTGGAGAAGGGAAGAAAGGAAGGTTTTACTGGGAGAAGAAGTCCTTGGCAAGTGTAGCTGAGGTGGAATAAGGAGGGTAAGGCCTGGGAGGAGAGGTGATGGGTCCCAGGAGACCTGTGGGTGCTTGACCCTTCCTTCTTCCCCCAGGTGAGTTGCTTCTTCAGGTCTGCAGAAGAGGAGGTCCTCCTTCACCGTGGGGGAGGAGAGAGCCAACTGCTGCCCCACCACCTTCACTGGGAGGGGAGTAGATGCCCCTTTAGGTATATTTCAACCCTGGCATTCTATCTCATCCCACGTTGGAAAAAAGGTCATTTCCTGAACCTGTTGAGGGCACCCAAAGTAGGCAGATAAAAGGGGGCCTCCATCGCTTCTCCTCAAGGACTTCAGCCCCGGCGCCTTGGGGTTCAGAGCCCCGAATGAACGCCGATGCCTTCCCCAAGGAGAAGCCGCAGAATGGAGCAGGGGGCTGGGTACCTGTCCTCGGGCTGAGGAGCTGAAGCGAAATATTTCATTCACTGCGGTCAGCAAAGAGAGGAACTCTTGGTCTTCATAGTCAAAGCGGCTGCCAAAGGCGATGGAGCTGATGACGTTGGACACGGAGCGGCTCAGGAAGTAGGTGGGGTCAAAGGGGGCCCCTGGGGGGAGAGAAGCCCTTCTTGATGCTCGTGCAGGGACTGCGGGGTCTCTGCCTTGCCAGGCTCAACCCCTCCTC